GGTAATAGGACCACCTCGGGAGTATACCCTTTCGATTACAAAAAGAATTTTGATGAAAATCGGCCTAAAAATTGAAGGAGATATCGCGTAACAAACATATAAAAAAATACCCTCCACTTTTGTGTTAAAACGTAAATAAATTGAATAATAATTAATCATCGCTGTATAATGACCTGTAACGATAAGCAAGAGGTTTTCAGATAATATAATCGAGTAGTTAATGTAAACAATTAAAATCATCAACAGCCTTTAATAGTTCACTGCTGGACATAGGCCTCTCCTTAGAAAGAAGGTTTTGGCCTACTATACCACGCTGGCCAGACGGGTTGGTATAGGGTTTGTGTCAAGTTTTCGTTCTTTTTGCAGTCCTGGTGTCCTGCTTTGTTTTGCGCCCTTAGTCGGCTCTTACGACACCCACGGGATGAATTGGGTTAGTGACATTCCGTATTCTTAATCCGTCACTACACGGACACTAGTTTCTCTACAGTAAATGTGACAAACTTACAGTTTATAAATCTCTCAAACAATAGTTTATTTTGTTGTATTAGTATTTACGCCATTAAAACTTCTCACAGTGAACGGACCACTTCGGAACTTAACTTCACAAGATTTAATATCAAAGCTTCCTCTACCTATTAACTTTAATTCTCTCACTCCGGCTCCGGCAAGAATATATTTTATCATTGGTCAAAAATTTTAACATTGAATGCCGCAACGCATTCTGCTACTCTTTATAAAATTGCCGTGAATCGTGAAAAAAATGCGAGCCTTTTCATTTCGTCTGTTTTATATTTTTGATTGATTGCGTCCTAATGTCGGATTAGTTAGACGGTTTGTAAAAGTTTTGCAGACGAAAAACAAAAAAATGTTTCATATTTCTCGTGTTGTTGTACATAATGCAATTCGAAAGTTTTTGGGTAAAGTATGGCAATTTAACATACATGCTACTTTGATAGAAAACGAAGCTTTTTGTATTTTTATCATCATTTCTTTCCTTGATATAATTGATAATGTTAAAACTTATTCAAATTTACTTGGTGCTAACACCAAGTCAACTTGAATAAGTTTTAACATCATCAATTATATTTTTTGTAATAAAACGAACAATAAAACGAAGCTTTTTGTATTTTTATTATGATTTATTTCCTTGATATAATTGATAATGTTAAATTTTTTTTTTTTTTTTTTAACACGTCACATCATGAAATGAATGATATTCGAAGTAATAAATAAAACATTTTTTATTGTAAAGAGTAAGGTCCTGTAACTAAAATACGGTTAAATAACATTTCTGAATTGGGCAAGCGAAGGTGACAAATACTTCCCAACTACGATACTCCTAGTTACACCTCTTCGGAGTTTATCGAACCTAACGTAAAAGTGATTGATTTTGAGAAAGATTGGGTCTGACTGCTGTAATGACTACCCATTTCTGTATCATTAAGGGAAACGTTTCTACATAAATGAGTAATATACCCATATGCTTGTGAACGTTTCTCTACATTTAGATATAGTAGATTTGTTCCTATTACGTAGATATATTAGGTAACTAACCTGTCTCCGAACTTTCGTTCAAAAAAAATACTGTAAACACCGAATAGCGATTAGAAAGGATTATTCGACGATTTAAATCTAACAATGTCAATTTTTAATATGATTTCAACATAGTTTCTGCTTCAGATTTTTTGCGCCATAAATGCCAAACGCTCTACTTAAGTACTGCATATTAAGAAATCTCTCGTGAATCTTCAGTTTGTTACAAACATGCGAGTCCAAATTTAAATTCATTTATTATTTAAATTAAGAAAATTGAATTGATTTTAAAGCAGAACCCTTTACAAGTAACGTACAAGCATTTTTTTTCACAATGTGTTCTACTTCTATTAATGGCATTAAGAAACTAATAATAGGCACAGATACTGATCCCTGAAATACAGTTTATACTAGTTCAGGAGTCACAGAATTCACAAATATGTAAAAATACTATCTCAAGAGACGATTTTTATTATTTATTTTATCGTGGCTCTTATAAAATGTGTTATTTTGCAATAACCCATTAAGCTTCGTCTAAAACAAATGATTTACACGCAACACATGCTAATTGTAGAAGGAATTGTGCAACTATTTAATGTCCCACTTACATAAATTATTTGACTTTCATATCCTCCGTCTTCGAAGTATGAACACTTTAAGAATTGAAATATGAAGAAGGATTTTAAAACAGAGTCCTACGGAGTTTTGATGATAAAGAATTACATTGTTACCTGGTGAATGTACTATAAAGACGTGCCGTTTCAGTCCATTTTGTGTAAAAAACTTTGTTATCGTTCAATGAGCGCTCTCCAGTTTTAAGGTCAGCCATCATAAATATCTCAAATATTATTTTTGACGTTAACTCATTTTATATTTATAATATGCTAAACTTATATTCACCCTAATATGCGACTACGTTTCATCAAGCCAATACACACATGTTTAGAAAAGCTTGAGGTCGTGGGTTCGATTCGCACCCAGAAAAATTTTGAACGGTGTACACGATCATTTGTTCTGTGTCCCGGTGAAATTTTTAACGTATTTAGAAATATATAAGAAGGTAAAAGTAGCTTATTTTACTCGCTGATGACGTAAAAATTGTTTCACCAATGGAGCTTTCAATTTTTAATTTAGATTTTTTAAAATCGGATTAGTGGTTTTGGCGTGAAAAGGCTTGTTTATTTAGACATATATAAGTAAATTATTTAAAAATATATGTGCATGGTTGATAGCTATAGATGGATCACGTAAGTGGAACTAAAATTATGATATGCCAAATTTGGACATTAATACGCCTCTGTCTACGCCTTCGGATATAGACGAGAGTACATATGATATTTATTTGGTTACAGCAACAGAGGGGCTTGTGGCTAAATGGTAACCGAGTAGGTTAACACATTGCAAAGTTAAGCAATCCTAGCCAGGTCAGTCTATGGATGGGTAACCATTCTTAACACATTAAGACCCCTCCATGCCGCGGAGAGCACTTTAAGCCGTCGGTCCTAGTTACCATAAAAACATTTGTGGCAATCGTTGCAAGTAGTTGGAGCCCTTAAACTTAGGTTGCGAAGGTCTGATGGCAGTGGCTTCGCGTAAAAAAATTGAAGTTCAGCCGTAGTAGACTTTAAAAAGCCGATCCATAAGTAATTTGGAAAAAAAGGCTTGACTAAACGGCGTGTCGACCGCTTAAACCACTACTCAATCCGTGCATTGAGTAGTGGTTTAAGCGGTCGACACGCCGTTTCCTACTGCGCTGGGTGTTGTGGGTCCGATCCCCACATGGGACGATACTTTGTGTGCTCCACAAATTGTCGTTCTGAGTCTGGGTGTTCTTTGTGTCCGTTTCATGTATATTTGTAAAGTCCCCCTCGACACAGGATATATTCCTAGTGCGGGAGTTGTCTTTTAAAAATGAAAGGCTCGGAGGGATAACTTGGTTACAGCATATACATATGTACAGATATGTATATCATAATGCTACATGCTTGTTGTATGGCGTTATTTCAATCCATTAATACTGAACCTTTTTTAATATGGCATATTACAGTACCGTGAAGCATTATATCATTAGAACAACGTACACCATCCTCAAAGACCGGCAACGCACTCGCTGAGCTGGAGATGTCCATGGGTGGCGGTGGTCACTTTCCACAAGGAGGTCCCCTTGTTTACCTTATTGCCGGTTTGTTTGCCAACTTTATCATAAATTTAAAAACAAAACATTATTTGTAAATAAGGCGTCAATTGGTCCAGTCCTCATTTGAAATATATTTAAAAGTTTAGGTACCATCACGCTTAGACTCATAAGATTGTAACAGTAATTAAAAGATCAAATCAAGCTCTTCGGTCGTCTACGAAACCGGAGCTTTGGAAGTGGTTTATCAAAATTCACTATGGATGTTAATCTATGTTCAATTAAGCATGAGCCGTGACCGCAATACAAGACCGCAACTGCTATTGCTAGTGCTTCTAGCAGTAAAAGTAATACATGTAGCTTTTTCTGTATAACTGAGGTTACATATGCAACTGAACCCTAAAATTAGAAGCAGCGAAGCGTGCGTTCGTGTCCGTGTGTCCAAACAAAAAAGCACAATATGTCATTAAGATGTATTTAAAGTACAACAATAACAAAATGTTTCCATTAAAGCATTTTTAATGATTACTCAGATCAGCATGTTTTTTTTCGTGGTGTAATACTTTTGGTACAGATATAGTATGCGAGCTAGAGAAACAATTTACACAAAGTCTCTGTTTCAGCCAAACTGGTGATAAACTTACTTATGTACTTTATTATTTACTATACTTATGCATAACAATTAAATTGTTTCCATGCCACGCTATTTCTCCTTTTTTTTTTTTTTTTTCCGTGCGTAAATCCCCTCGGATACCACCTGTCGGTGGCATGTCGGACTCGAACCGACTAAAACCGCACGCCTTCGCCGAGTACTAATAGCCGGGGAACCAGGTATACCCTAGAAAGGAAGTCCCTGGTGCCCCGACATACCTCGGGTCATCTACAGACGAGTAGACGACCCCCCCCCGTGTGGGAACCCCATGTTCCCTGTGCTCCCTGGAAGCGAGCGCGCTTCGCAACGCGCTCGCCGCCACCCCGGCCTGCTTCTGCTAGGGTGACAGATGGCCTCACCTGTCACCACCAGGCCTGCGCTTATGGAGGACCTAGGTCGTTCTGCGACCTCCGGCGCCTGAGTCGCCTGCGGTGCCTGGCCCGTGCCCGGGCCTGGCGGGCCGGGAGAGTTCTAAACCTCTCCCGGTCCCGCTCCGCCGTCTCCTTCGCGAGCATAACTTGCTCGCAGAAGGAGACGGCAGAGTTCCACGCACTCTCGCTCCGCACGATAGCCGCAATCAGGCTATCCTGGGCAGAAATAAAGCACTACACAAACATAAAAACGATGGATGCGGTACATTACTGTATGAATTTGATACTGTATGAAAACATTTGATTTATCATGAAGAACAATTCATGTTGTTCATTCTATGGCTTTCAGATGGAACTCCACCAGGTGGCGCTGCTCACCATAGTTCTGTCCAAAAGTGATCTGTGTAAATAATTTAATTTAAACTATTTTTAGTGCTTAAATCGTGAAAAAAATACCGTTACATCGCTTCTAATATCAAGTGAAATGTGTGATAACGTTATCAGACTATACACTATAAAACAGTGCTAAATCATTGACAGTCGATTTCAACTAATTTGTGAATAAATATATCAAATAAACAAACAAACCAATAAAAGTATGGTAATCTAGTTGAAAACTATATAAACAGTGATATTTTAACATTGAACAACGACATATTTGGTCCTAACATTTGTGTACAAAGTTGATTGGAATGCGGAAAAAAATCCTTAACGGTGAGTCATAGTAACCGTTTTGCCGTCCTCAGAAATCACTAACATTATCTAATGAATCTAAAATTCGCTATGAAGAATTAATGTTTACGCAGGTAGCTGGGTAACGGGGCGGCCGCGGAGATGCACCTAAAGCTTGTCGGTTCGAACTACTACTGTGAGTGATTTCACTTTTGTGAGGTTTATTGACATTGTCTCTTAATAAACTACAAAAAGAAACTACTATCAGGCCACACATATCTGCGACTTGAATAGATAAAACGAGTACCTACAAACGGTGAAATACGAGTATATATTTAACACAACTGGACTCCCTCGGTATCGCCTGGCTTACCTACGCCACGTGAGTATAATAACAACAATATATATCGTTACCCTCCAATATGGATGGGGATCAATATTGTAATATCACCTATAGAAAAAAACAAACTCCAAAATTAGCTTAGTTAATGTTAGCTTGACAGAGGAGACAGCTGTAGATATTGAAAATAGTTCATTGCTAGATTCATCAGTGAACAGTTTACCTGCCACTTCAAAAAAGGATTATACTTTACTTGAAGAATACGAAGAAATTATTTCTACATTAAAATTAAGGTTAGCTTCAGCTGATGAAGAGATTGAAAATTTGAATTTACAATATATACAATTAAAGATGAGTGTTGAAAAATCATCAAAAGTGATAGCATTGTATAAGAAGATTGGCATTACGGAAAACTTGTTGAATGCTGTTTCTACTCCGGTTATACGAAAGGTTAAAAAAGTATTTTCCGGTGTATATCCAGTATCACCTAGGCACAGCATTCCAGAAACAAATGAAATTTCAACACAAACAACAGGAATTTCTATGACGAAACATCTTGGAAAGCCTTTCTCATTTAAAACATGTAAACAACAAATCAAAAAGCGACGAAGAAAAATAAATTATTTAACTCATAAAATTTCGATATTAAAAACTCAAAATAAAAAACTTATGAATAAACTGGAAACCATACAGACAGAAAATGGGTCGTATGATGATATCAACACCGATATAAACAACCAGTTCTCTAGAACATTCACTAAAGAGTCGCTCACGGATGACACTATGCTGAACGAAAGTACTGACCAATCAATAATAAGAAAAAATGAGATGAAAAAAATGGAATTTACCGCCTTAACTGGCACAAATGAAACTAAACGCAAAGTAATTGTTCTTGCAGATCAACAGGGTCGCGGGATTCGGAAAGTCCTTGCCCAGCTTCTGGGAGATAAATATGATGTATTTTGCTTCGTGAAACCTTTTGGCGAACTCTCTGATATATTGAACTCATGTATGACTGAAATATCAAACCTGACAATGAATGATTTTGTGATTGTGATAGGTTTCACAGAGGATAATAGTGTTTCGCCTATCTGTAATCAATTAGTACTATGGATTGAATCTTACCAAAACACTAATATATTAATATGTGAGCCCTTATTTAATAGATGTATTAAAGAAAAAAAATTAAATAATGAAATATCTAAAATATGTGACAACTATTTAAACGCCTCATGGATGGACTTGTAGTCATGGATTTTTATAAATTTAACAACACTAAACCGAAACATATCCATTTCCCGACTTACATATGTCGGTATATATTAAGGGACACATTACGATTGTACTACAATTCAAAATGTAAATTATTCTTGACTAATGCTGATAATAATGATCATAATAAGATATATTGTAATATTAATAATAATAACCAATTGACATTGCCATGTACTGTCTATAATAATTGTGATGCTAAATTTTCTACTAAAAGTTCTGAATGTGACATTAATGTTGCTACATGTTATGAATCCACTTCTAAGAAAATAGGTTCTGTCAAATCTGTTTCAAAACGCAACAATTTTTTTCGTTTATAACCATGTAAATATAATTCACCAAAACATTTGTGGCCTTATTGCGAAGTCTGATTTGTTTACTGTCTGCCTTAATGACCTAGCAGATATAGGTAGAAATATTGACGTTTTATGCTTTTCTGAGCATAATATGACAAGTGATGATATTGAACTCCTCGAAATTCCGAATTTCATTTTAGCTACCCATTTTTCACGAAACAAGCGACGAGGGGGAACGTGCATTCTAGTGAGACACTATTTTAACTTTGTCGTACTTGAAGCTGTTCAAAAATATAGTATCTCTAATGTGATTGAATGCTCTGCAATTAAATTAGTTGACCACAATATGATAATTTTATGCCTCTATAGGGTACCAAAGAGTAATAGCTATAGTAAATATATTAATTTGTTTTTTAATCATTTTAATGACATTTTATGTCTCCTCACAAAATATGGAAATAACAAGATCGTTGTTTGTGGTGATTTTAACATCGATATGTTAAAAAAGAATAAGTACACATTAGAGTTGGAACAACTAACAACGGGATTTAATCTAACACAAGCAATTAATGAGCCTACAAGACCAAGTAGTGGTTCCTGCATTGATAATATTTTCCATAATATTCGTGGTGCCAAATCAATTGTCTTGGAACTTAGTTTATCTGATCATAAGGCGCAGTATATTTCATGTCCAGTCAAAAAGACCTGTACATTTGACCACTGGTTTACATTTAAACGCGATTATTCTAAAGACAATTTAGGAAAATTTAAAGAGTGCATTAAAGAGTTAAAATTTACTGAAGTGTTTGAGTCAAAGAATGCAAATGATGCTTTTAACTTATTTTATGATACATTTAGACTATTTTACGAAATGTGCTTTCCCATACTTAAAATTAAAAATAAAACAACCATTGTACCAAAATGGATGTCACGTGGTATTAAGAAATGTAGTAGGCGTAAACGTTCTCTTCTTTGGAAATATAGACTATCAAAAAGTAGCGTAGATAAGTCGAATTTTAAAAAATATTCACTGACATATTCCAAAATTATTAAATTAACTCAAAAATCTCAGAATAATTATTACATTCTAAATTCAAAAAATAAATCGAAAGCCACCTGGAACATAATTAATGGCAAAAAACAGAATTTTCCCCCTGAGACTATAAGTGAATTGGTAATAGACAAACATAAAATTATGGACCCTCAACGAATCGCTGAATTGTTGAATGACTACTATGCAGATATAGTCAAACCTGAGGCTAGCAGTAACGGTAATAATATCCCAATAATCTCTACATGCACGTATAATACACCGAAATCATTCTTTCTGAATCCGACAAGTCCTATGGAAATTCACAATATTATAAAAAAATTAAATAACACTAAGAGTACCGGTTTTGTTGACATATGTGTTTTGGTAATAAAATCCGTGTCTCATATGATTGCACCTATACTGAGCTGTATCATAAATATGTGCTTCGAACAGGGAATATTTCCATCTGTCTTAAAAACCACTATAATTAAACCGCTCCATAAAAAGGATGATAAATCAGATATAAAAAATTACAGGCCTATAGCCCTGACTCCAATATTTTCTAAAATAATTGAAAAAGCCATATACAATAACTTGTATGACTACTTTGAAAGGAATAATATTTTTACGCCGGATCAGAAAGGTTTTCGTAAAAATATGTCCATAAATTTAGCTATATATGATTTCTTAAGTTTAGTGTATCCTAGAGTTGATAAAAGACAACCTGTCTATGCTTTGTATATGGATATGTCAAAGGCCTTCGACTGCGTGGACCATAGTATACTACTGAGTAAGCTTGAAACGTATGGTGTTAGGGGCAACACTTTGGACTTACCAAAGTCTTACATTAGTAACAGAACTCAGATCACAAGTATTGTCAAAATCTGTCCTAAAACTAAATATGAAATAAATTATAAGTCCAAGAGTAGAAGCATAAAATATGGAGTTCCACAAGGTAGTGTTCTGGGCCCACTGCTCTTTCTTATCTATATCAATGACCTGCCAAAATCTACTACAGATCGTATGGTACTATTTGCTGATGACTGTACTGTTATATACTATGATGAAAATATTATAAATAATAGTTTAAATTCAATAATTCAATGGCTTCAAAATAATAATTTACTAATTAACATTGATAAAACTAAATTAATGCAATTTAAACAAAAAACAAAAAACACTTTACATACTCTAATAGAATTTAATGGTGAAAAAGTTGAATTGACGACTACAACAAAATTTCTCGGTGTACACATAGATGACAATTTGAAATGGCAAAGTCATATTGATTTCGTTTGTAAAAAAGTGTCACAGTCATCTTATAGTCTATACATGCTAGCAAAAAAGGTCAATCTTAACTCATTACTCGTAGCTTATCATAGTAATGTTGCTTCTAGACTTAGATATGCAATCATATTCTGGGGAAATACTACCAACTGGGATAGAGTTTTTAAATGTCAAAAAAGGTGCGTGCGAGCTATGTGCAGTCTTAAAAGAACTGACAGCTGCAAGAATTATTTAAAAAAATTAAAAATACTTACAGTACCATCATTGTATATTTTTGAAATGGCATTGTTTATTAGACATAATCCGTCACTGTTTACATTAGAGCTTAAATCGCGAAATAGAAGTCACCTTTTTTTTTTTTTTTTTTTTTGTTTGGCACTAATCCCACCCACACGCCCACCACTGTAACTCCTGTACACCAGGATCCACAGCAGTGACCCACGAATACACCGAGTTATGACACTCGGGAAGTCCCAGGAAGAAATTAAACTGTCTTGGAACCCGCAACGAAATTAATCAGAAGAAAATTGGAGGAGTTGGAAATACAGTAAATCCACTTCCCTCCTTAGCAAAGCGGGAGACAAAATGAAGTAAAATAGGCATACACCCTTTTAAACAGGGAAGCACCACGGCCACAAAATATTACGGGTCCTACATGAGCTATATTTGATTTCTATAATATGTATGGCAGAATCGCCTAAACGCACGGAAATTCACCCTAGTTGACACAAGATCCCCATAGTATACCGCCCCAGATGTCACCCGCAAGCTATTCAGCATTATATTACGTTCATTATACCAAAGACTTCATTCCCAGAGGATATGATGAGCAGACTGTTCATAATGAGAGTTAGGTGTTGAGCATTGACACAATGGTGACTCGACTAATTTAAATGAATACAACTTGCTCTTAAAGTTACCATGACCCGTAAGAAATTGAGCGACACAGTGATCCACCTCAAGCCATGTCCTCGACAACCGTTCGCGAACAGATGGAAAAAATTGGTAAAGATGGCGCCCCTTGGATGATTCGTCCCAGCGTTGCTGCCATTCGTCTATGAGGTCATTATAGACATCGGACTGCTGTTGAAGCAATCTTGTAATTTTACCGCGATCCCGCGCGCCCAAGAAATCGCATTCCATGTTTTGTCTTGAATAGTACATGGCTGCACGTCTCTGCACCTCGAGATCGACCGGAAGGACACCTGCCAACACCGGCAAAGCCTCAGTGCTAACCGTCCTATATGCCTTGCACAAAAATATCAGTGCAAGTCGTTGGCCTTGTAACAGTTTGCGACGGACAGCGCCTACGGTCGCCCTATCGGCCCATACAGGTGCACCATAGCACATAGAACCTAAATAAGTAGCTCCGTATATGATCTTTAATGTATTAAATGATAGACCCCATGTCGCAGTTGATATCCTTGTCAATGCACAGAAACTCTTTTTAGACTTTTCATTAACTATTTTAATATGTTCGATAAATGAAAAGTTTCTTTCTAAAACTAATCCTAGATAACACACTGTGGTTTTATTTTTTACAGTAACATTGTCAAATCTAATGCTCGGCGGTGATTTGAGGTTACCTTTTAAAAGTAACTGGAAGGTTTTGTTGGGTGCAAAAGTTAAGCGATTACGTTCACCCCATTGAGATATCAAGTTCAAACATCTATTGGCTAATCTCTCAAGCCCCGCCCTAGTATCAGATTCCACCAGTAATAAGCCGTCATCAGCATACGCGTTCAGAGTACATCCGGATGGTATTGGTATCGTAAGAAAATCGTCGAATAGAAGTCACCTGTATAATAACCTTACCTGTCACTATAGAACTACCCTCTTTGGGAAGAGTGTGTTTGCTATGTCCACAAAGATCTACAATAAGATTCCTAACAATATAAAAGAATGTGGCAACATCTATGTCTTTAAAAATGAATTGTTCAAATTTCTCACAGAAAAATGCTATTACTCTGTTGATGAATTTTTATAGACTCGATTTTTTTAAATGTTTCATGTCCAAGTTTAATGTTGGCGTTGATTCTTGTTGAATTTCTTGCGTATGTCATGACCTACAGTAATAATAGAATTTATATATAATCTTTAATGATTTTTTTATCAAATAATCAGAATTTTAATATATGTACATATTTTTTTAAATACTATAATTTTAAATATTAATCAATATATTGCTTAATAATTTGTATGCCCAAATGGCAGATCATGGAATGAACATCATTAATAATTATGTAATGAACACCTGTATGTAACCCATGTATCACAATTAATGATTTGATTTGATTTGAACATTTAATGATTCTGGCGAAATAGTTCATTATAAACACAGCAAAATCTATCCTTTTGTG